AGTATTTATAAATTTTAAGTTCTAATTTTATTGGCTTATTATCTGGACAAGTTTTCAAGTTCTAATTCCAGGATTATCCATCAGAGTCTCTTAAGAGTAAGAGATTTAAAGCTTAAGCCTATTAACCAAAACAAAATTATTTACTGATTAGGAAAATGATTTTAATGATCCAACATATACGACCATGTTATCTAACCAAAAAAAAAAAAAAAAACTGATAATGCTTTTCCTAGCATAATGACCTTTCGTGGAGTCGCAAACTTCATGCACTTACACTTTGCACAAGATCCTTCCTCGGATAGAGGATATATAAGGATAAATTTTTATATGAAGAAAAAAAAAATCATAAGATAAAATTAAATTATACATAAATTAATTTGTTAAAGTTGAAACTTTTTTTTAGTTTATTTAAAAATATATTTTAATTTACACATAAATTAGTTTTATATAAGTTATAAAAAAATATTTATTTTTATTTTCTTTTCATATAAGTACTTATAAAAGAAATTTATATAAACGAACTTAGAAGCTATAATTGTTCCATTGAAAAATTCACCTTCACTAACAAATTCATCCTTTAACTCCTACTTGTAAAATATTATCAAACTTGAAATTTTATCGTCAGTGACGAGATCAAGAATTAGAGAAGTTCTTTCTTCATTCATTATCTCGATGTATTTAAAAATCTGATAAATTTTTTTTCAAAGTTTAATTATATATAAAAAAATTTATAGCAAATTTTTATATTAATAATTTAAATGAAGGCTCTTTACATTTTTAATTTTGGACTAAAAAATCAGGATCAATTAAAATTCGAATATGATAAATTATGAAATTTTTATAATTTATAAAAGATTTTATTTTATTTTTATAATTTAATTAAATGTCAAATCTATAATTATACTTTTTGTGACTATTGAAGATATTTTTTTTTAAATCTTATTTCTTTTTTGGTGTATTAGATATAATTAATGCTTGTTTTTTTGACTTAATTATAAATAAGGATAAGACAAAAAAAAAAAAAAAAACTAATTCTAAGTATGATATAATAACAGTACTTTAAGACCTACCAAGCATATCCTACCATACATTTAACTATAGAATTATCATTTTAATCCTTAAAAATATCTTATATTAATAATTTCAGGTATTAATAATTTCTGTGATCTTACTTTTGTAATTTTAACAACTAAAATAATTTTTATTTAATAATATATAAGGAAAAATAATGTTTGTTTAGTAAATTTTAAGAATTGAAATGACATTTTTTTTTTATATTTCAAGGATTAAATGCACTAATATTTGTAATTCAAGGATTAATTTTTTATTCATTAATTCAAGAATTAATTTAATTAGCGTATTATTTTATTGCTTGATGAAACACAAAAAATAACATTTAACAAAGTTTGCATGCAAAATAAAGTTGATCAATTATCCAAATAATGATACGCAAATCACATAGTTGTAATTGGTACCAATTTAATTTGATTTACATATTTTACACCATGGAAATTTTTCTCACACTGATTCTTGTCACTGCCACTATCTTCATTATAACTCTTCATTTATTTAGTCAATTCTCCTTTGTCATAAAATAAAATAGGCTGAGTCAGATGAACAAACTAGAATGACTTGACAAAACATTTTATATTTAATTCACAATATTGAACTGAATTACTCTCTCTCTTTTTTCTTTATTTATTTCTCTCCTCTCTCTATGTCCTTTTTCTTCTTTTCTCTTTTTCCCTCCCCCTTCACATTTTCTTTTTCTTCTTATTTCTCTTACTTCTCTCTCATGTTTCTTATTAAATATTATCTAATATTAAAATTATTTTAAATGATTAAATATTTATAAATAACTATTTTTTATTTCATAAATTTAATAAATTTTTTTCTCTTTCTCTCTCTCTCTAATATATATATATATATATGAGGAG